CTGAATCCACTTCCGACTTCGATTGAAATCGGAAAGCTTTTTTCGGTCGGACTCTACCGAAACGGGTTTTGAATCGCAGTTGCACTGTTCATCATCGTTCTTGATTTCAGTTCGTACCTCATATTTTGACGTCTATTTCTTGAATCAAAGAGTAGTCTGGGGCTTTCCCTCTCAGGACACATCTCCCCGACCTTCTGGAGAAGGGTGAGGTTAGAGGTTCGCTGGAAACCACCCAAACTGTCTTGGTGGTTTTACTGTTCACCGACGCACTCATTTCTCCAGATTTCTTCGTCCTCAGACAGCCCAATTTCTAATGGAAGGTGGTTTGGACTTTGGAACTCACCTGGTCTTGTCGAATAGAGGAGCACTGGCTTCAATTTCCCAAGCACTGCTCTGGAGTTTTTGCCCAAAAGACTGCAGAAATGGCGAGGCAGAAAAACGGGCAACCCTCTGCGCGAATTACCAGGTCACAGGCCTCCAGGTTTGACGTTTTAGACAGTCTCGATGAAGATTTCCCAGTCCTATTTGCTGGGAAAGATAAACCAGCAGGGCTGGCAGCTGCTATGAGCCAAACTACACCTCCAGGGGCGGACGGTCGTCACAACCCTGTGACACCTACTGCTGAGTAAATTGCTGGTATCAGCAATTCCACTTCTGCAACTGTTACTACTATCAACAATTCTACTTCTGCTGAGAAAATTGATGTCCCGAAGGATGGAATCTGGCACTTTTGAAAATAGGCTCTCCACGGCTGACTACTTCAAATGAGAAAGGCGGAATACATGTGGCTCAAACAGGGAAGTCTCGTTCTGGCACAATCCCAACAGGACTAGTTGAGGTAATCTCATCTGTGACTCTTAGGATAACCTCTAATTCAATTCATTCTGCCGTGACAATCCCAACTCATGGGCTGAAATTGAGATTTATCCCGCCAAAAGAGAACACTGGACTTTTTAGATAGGATTATGCAATGTGGGGTATTTGTCTCGTTGGATGCTCAGAGGACGTTACCTTGGATTAAAGGTTGTCCATGAATTGAAAGAGAAATGAGGTGTGAAATGTCTTGTTCAAACCCATGATAAGGCTTGGGTTATCTTCAAATTCCAAAATGAAGCTTCTAGATTGAAAGTGCCGATAGAGGGACCTTACACAATACTGAAGGTACTTCTCATTTGACGATGAAGAATTCCTCAAAGTGCCTGTGTGGGTCAAATTCATGAACCTAACAATGAAATTTTGAAATGAAGATGCAATGAGTGAAGTTGCTAATACTGAAGGTACTTCTCATTTGACGATGAAGAATTCCTCAAAGTGTGTGTGGGTCAAATTCATGAACCTAACAATGAAATTTTGAAATGAAGATGCAATGAGTGAAGTTGCTTCAATGGTTGAAGTTCCGTTAAATACAAACAAGATCACTCAATAGAGGACTACCACAATTTTGCTAGAGTGTTAATTGAGGTTGATGTGTCCAAATCGCTCCCACTATTTTTTCCAATACGACTACCATCCCAGGTTTTTAAACAAATTGTGGTGTATAAAACTTTTCCTATTTTTTGTTTTCATTGCGAAAAATACAAGCATCACCATTTTATTTGCAAAAAGTTAGCTTAGAAAGGAAAAGGGGTCTCTGGGAAACCAGAAGATTTGATTGAAAGTACCAATGATGTTAGTAAAGAGCCTCTTACCATTGTAGTTATCCAAGAAAATAAAAGTAGGGAAGATGATTGAGATACTATGTTGTTTGAAGATGTGAATACCGCACGAGAAGTTGTGGAGACGATTGAGGAGAGCCCGAACAAGATGGAAGCTCCAATTTCTAAACAAGTGATAGATGATGCTAAGGAACACGGTTCACAAGAGCTTACCTCGAAGGACCACCCGGTAACTAGAAGTCAATCATAAACGCTTTTGGATGATGAAGACTATTATATCTACCCGGTTTACTCAAACTATAACTCTCCTCACATGCCGGTAACAAGTGTCAATCGGTACAACTCATCACACCCGGCGGCATAAACGTACCCTCCTTACCTTCAAGGGGCCATCTTGTTTCACAACAAATACAACCAATCGCTCTCTTCCAGGCTAGGGGTGCCTGGAAATAATTTTAATTGTTAACTCTTTATCTCGTGCCTCGTCTTGTACTCTTTATTTTGAACTATGTACTCTTGTTTTTAATATTTTTAATAAAATTGGAAGTGTTCCCGGCGCTTCCACCACCTCCAGTGGCTTTCCCGAGTAAAAAAAAATCAATTGCGACTGGCATGTCATCAGGATGACTGGTTATCCGGAATTAACCTGGTTGATTTTGATTTTGAATTTTGAATGTTTTGGTTAATTTTAAGGTCTTGGATGTGTTTTTAGTTTGGGGGCTTAATTGATTTTTTTTAAATACTACGGGGTCAATTTGATAGCTTTTCTTTTTTAAAAAAGGGATTATAATGACACAGGTATGGCTATTATCCTCACTTGCATTCATGAGCCATCCGCTTTACCCTTCCCCTTTTCGTTTCATTTTCCTTTTGTTTTCCTCTTGTTAACCCACACTCTAATTTTAACTTTGTCCATCATCTTTTCCACTTTTGACTTCTCATTTTGTAGGTCCTATGGAGGATAAACACCACCCTTTGATTCAAGCACTAATAGCTCAATTTATTGGCACTACGATGTGGTGCAGTCCCTCATGTCCATCCACCGCTTAGTAGTGAGGTTCTGCACTGCCGTAGTGAACTGTGGGGGTGTCCCACAGGAATCTACCTTGATTTGGGGACTAGTGGACTACAGAGTAATGAGTTAAATAGAGAGTGTCCACTTTCTTATCACCAATTGATTTTAAGAAAGATATGGTTGCTATTTGACCACAAAACTCTGTAGTTAAGCGAGCCCGAGGTAAGAAAGCCCGAGGATGGATGACCCTCTGGGAAGTTATTCGAATCCGAAAAGGGGTGTATAAATCTAACAAGCTTGTCGAATCCGATGAGGGGTGTATCGATCCAACACATTTAACTCATCATTACATTAAATTAGGACTCCAAAATCTCCAATTTTAACATTTTGGACTCCTAATTCTACAGCACTACAAATGGTTTTATCTTGTTATTTGACTTATTTCGTATACATTGAGTAGCGTTCTGGTCTTATGGAGGTCGAGTCCTGCTGACTGATGTCCCTTTGCAAATAAAAACGAATTCAAGCTAGGGGTGGTTCCATAAGGCAAGTGAAGCCATTGACTCAGGGCCCCCATGAAGCTTAAAAAAATTGGGGTCCAAAATTTACAAGTATACATACATATGTTTATTTTCCTTAACAAAATTTCACCCCTTTTCATATCAATTTTGTTTCTTAAGTAAATTAAAATTTATTATCTACATCTCACAACAATAATGCATGTGATAATATGTCAATTTTTGGAATTAATAATTATTGTAAACATTATTTATATTTGACTTGATGTCAATTATTTGTTAGTTTTAATTGAAAATTGCATTTGTATACAAGTTAGATGTTCATATTTAGTTTACAATTTTATATTACAATGTTTTATGAAATTTTTAAAATGACTAACTAATTGATTTGATTAATTATTAAATTTTATGTAATTCATTTTCATGTTTTATGAAAAATGACTAACTAATTGATTAGATTAATTTGTTTCCTATTGTTATGACAAATGACCAAGTAACTAGAGGTATAAAGATCAAAGTTTTATGCATTAATCATAAATTGAATTATACGCTCCATTGAAACTAATTTATGAGCACCATTATAATATACTATAGTTCTATTATAATATGTGTTTGCCGCTAAAAGTGTTAGATAACTTATATGTACTGTGTAATTAATTATGAGAACATATTTTCTCATATTAATTTAGCAGTGAATATTTTAAATATTGTGTTTGTAAATATTATACATATAAAACTTTCAATTTTAAGAGACCTTTAAAAAAATCCAACCCATGCCCTAAAATTGCTAGGATCGACCCTGGGTGGTTAGAGCATCTTTAATGCTACATTCTTTACATGAAATAAATTTTAACACTTGTCAATCAATAAATGGAATGTTGTTCCATGTCATTTCATAGATATGTAAATAAATAGTCGAACCCAAAAAACTGCTCCAATGGGTAGTGTTAACAACTCATATAAATTTTACGTATAAGCCTTTTATTTTTAAATTAAATTAAAACCTGTCATATTAAAATTCTAACGCGCATGGAAACTGCTCCGATTGGTGAGTCAGACTGTTAAACACGCTGTTATACAAAGACATTCTTGACAACATTGTCCACATCTGATTTTCTCACATAAGCATTACATTACTACGGATACAAAGCATTGAGACATAAATATAAAAAACAATGTGAACATGAGTGATGCGGGCAGTTTTTTTAATGTGGACATAGCACCATTGATAATGCTCTTAGAAGTAGTGCACTATCGGTTAAAAGCAAGTCACTTCCATCGATATTTGGAGAAACTGTCAATTTGGTCCTCGTACTTTATGAAAAAGTTAATTAAGTCCTCGTACCTTAAAAAAATCAATCAAATCGCACACATGGCGGTCCATGTGTGGGTCACGTCATCAGCAAATGGTTGGCTCGACTTCCACATGTGTGTCACGTCAGCAAAATTGTTGGTAATTGAGTTGCCAGTCTGCCACATGTGCGTCACGCTAACGGGTGACCTGGTGACATGGGAAATAGCTTGCAAATGGACTCAAACGATTTTATAAAGTTTGGAGATTTGATTGATCTTAACATTTCCAGGGCTTTTTAAAACAAAAGCACCAAGCCCGATTGCGCCGAGAGTTCTCCAAATCCATTTGGCAGGACTTTTTGGCGTAAGTTCCTTAGCTTGGACAGGGCGTATGAAGATTTAATTAACTTTTTTATGAAAATAGAAGGACAAAATTTACAATTTTCATCAACATTTTGAAAAGTCAAATGGTGTCACCGGTCAAAAAAAGGAATCGAAATTAGTTGAACTTTTTCCACATCCCATACCATTTGTATATCCAACAATTTCATGATATAACTACTACTAGTACCCAGGAAGCCAGGACAATGCAACTTCCCTCAAGCCAATCAAAATGTCTTCAATACTGCCATTTTCCATCTTCTTCTTGTTCTTCTTATCTGGCGGTCCTAATCACAAACGCTCTGCAGAAGGGCAGCCAAGCACCACGGGCTTTGAATGCAACCCCAACCAGAGCTACCCGTGCCAAGCCTACGCCTTCTACAGAGCCGCGCCTCCCAATTTTCTTGATTTGGCCGCCATAGGAGACCTCTTCTCAGACAGCCGCCGCATGATTGCAGAGGCCAGCAACATCTCCTCCCCAAACGCCACCCTTCAGGCCAACCAGCCCCTCTTCGTCCCCATCGCCTGCTCCTGCAATCAGATCAACTCCACCTTCGGCAGCATCTCCTACTCCCCCCTTGACTACACCATTGTCTCCGGCGACACCTACTACCGAGTCTCCACCACCAATTTCCAGAACCTCACCAGCTTCCAATATGTGGAGGCTGTCAATCCCACTTTCGTTCCCACCAACCTCAACATCGGCGACCATATAACTTTCCCCATTTTCTGCAAGTGTCCGAATTCAACGGACTTGAACAGCCAGAGGAAAATCCTCATCACCTATCCCTTCCAGCCGGCCGACACCGTGGCGGCCATCGCCGCACGGTTCGGCGCGACCAGGCAGTCTATCATCGACGTGAACGGAAACAATATAGGACCCAACACGACGATTTTCGTCCCGGTGTCGCGGCTACCCAACATCTCGCAGCCGGTCAATTCCAGCTCTGCCCCTCCGGACGCCGGAGCTGCACCCCAGACTGTACGGGGCAAAGACCGGAAAGGGACGGTGATAGCGCTGGGGGTAGTGTTGGGGGTTTCGGTGGGTTTGCTGGTTTTGGTGGTTGGGTTTTGGGTTCGGAGAGAGAGATCGAGGAGGGACAAGTACGGAGATGCTGGGACGAAGGAGATGGACGGAGTTATGCAGAGGAAGGAGGAAGGGAGTGCGGCGGTGAAGGAAATGGAGGTGAGTTTAATGGCGGATGTTTCGGACTGTTTGGATAAGTACAGGGTGTACAGGATGGATGAGATATGGAAAGCAACGGAGGGGTTTGACGAGAGGTGTTTGATTGAAGGGTCTGTGTACAGAGGATCCATTGATGGAGAGATGGTTGCGATCAAGAAGCTGAAATGGAATGCCCGTGATGAACTCAAGATCCTCCAAAAGGTAAAACCCAAACCACAAGATTTTACCCGTCTCCACGCTTTACCCTCATTCTTTTTGTCGTTATTTTGATTTTGATGATGATTATGAATGATTTTCCAACATTATTTAATCTAAGAAAAATACAAACAACTAGTTGAAAAGTATGACCTGTCCTTGTTCTTCCTATTACTGCCGACAAGCCCACCGGCGGCTACGACTTTTAAAACGATAAATTTTGTACAAAAAATTTTACACTCCGTATTTGATAACATGCCCAGTTTTGTACCATTTCAAACTTAAACAGCATTATTTTATTAATTAATATACTAAGAGCTCATTTCATGATCTTGTTTTTAGACTTAATAAATCAACTTTTTCACCCAACGTTAACTTTTTAGTTGTGTAATGATCAAAATAAATAGGATTGAAGTTACTTTTTTTGACTGAATTGGCTGAAGTTAACGTAAATGACCATTTTAGTTATCTTTATATAATTTTTTCTTTATTTTAATAATAAATATATTTAAGCAATCCAACTAGTGTAATAAGAACTTTATAAATTTTAGCAAAATCAATCCATTTAACTAATTTCAGTGTTAAACTCTAAAATAAAAACCAAACGGACTCTAAAATAAAAGGAATAAGAAAAACTATCTGGTGTCACACATCGAACATGTAACACAGCTCGACTTGTGAAAATAACACCATTTTTTGTGAGAGAAATTACTTTTTTGTTTATTAATTATTCTAAAGTAAAATATAATAAGTACTTCGTATCTTAAACTAAGGACTCCTTTGGTAGTTTACATGTTAATTCTTTACACACGAAATGATTGCATTCAAAGTTTAGGGACACAAACACCTTACGTGTAAAATAGATTACATTGTTTGGCTAGAAGTGTACTTTATTTTTAATTTGTACGTAAAGACATCGCAATGCTTTATAAAAAGCATGTGAAGTATTTTACCAGCCCCACGTAAAATACTTTACATGATACATTGCGAAATGTTTTTTAAAAGTGTCATACAATTTATATTAAATAATAAAACCAAACGATTTAAACATTTTAGGTCCCTTCACTTCGCATGCAAAGTAATTATTGTACATCATACCAAGAGCGTTCTAAAATCCAATACTATTGTTAGGAATGCTCCAAGAATCTAACCGATCAATCATTTTAGTTGTTGTTGCTTAAACACCTCACTAATAAACTTCTTATTTCGCACGTTAAATTATGTAATGCTCTATAGAACTAATGACAGACATACGGCTACGATAGTAATGCTTCTTGTACATAAATTGTACACAACTTGTGTACAAATATCAGTCACAGTCAATTGGTATGCTGGCACATAGGACTATGGGAGCTGTCTGTGAGCACAGACAAGAGTTGTCTACTTGTCTATGTTCGCAGACATTAAGTTTCATGTCAAAAGTACACGGTTAACCACTTAGCCGCCTGACATTGACTGCAAACCAATCTCTATGTGTGCAGTGCATCTGTGCACAAACAATGATTGTCTGTGCATAGACCATTAGTTTATGTGACCAAAAATGAGGATTTTTCATATAGAGCTTGCCACACATACAATAATTTTGGGGCTCACAAACAATAGTTGTCTTTGTGATCATTTTCAATTGTCTGTGTTCCCATATATTTTATTACACAGACAATAGTTATATATGTTGCTCACAAACAATAGTTGTCTGTGTGATGTACTTTAGTTGTTTGTGTGATCAATTTTAAATGTCTCAGTGAACAAAATATTTAATGGTCTACATACGTGCAAATGAATTACGTAGTTGTATGTGTGCTCAATTTACATGTAATTTGCAATAAAAAAGATAATAAAAATAGATGGAAATAGATAAATAGGCTTATTTTGTGTAAGTATTGGAAAAAATTAGATATAAAAAATAGAGAAGAAAAGGGTGAAGAAGGGAAGAGGAAGAAGAGAATAAGACGATCCGATCTTATTGGGTTGGGTTGAGAGGGAAGAGAGAAGGGTTAGAAAAGGGAGGGGAGGGAAAAAAGAGAGAATGAAAATGATAAATTTTTACGTTTATATAGTGTGTACAAATTGTGTACAAATTATGTACAAATGCTATTTTCATGACTATAATAAATCAACCATGCTAGGGGTACACAAGTTGTACACAACTTGTACATAAAATGTCGGTCACAAACAATTGGTACGAAATTGTCTGTGGGCACAGATAAAAGTTGTTTGTGTACACAGATAACTTTTGTCTGTGTACACAGACATTTACTTTTTTGTAAAAAGTAGACTTACAGTCACCTGACACTGACATCTGAAAAAAATTAGAAAAAAATTAAAACATATGAAATAAGATGAATAAGCTGATTTTGAGCAAATAATGAAAAAACAAATTGATATAAAAAGATAGAGAAGAAAAGGATGAAGAAGGAAAGAGGAGGATGAAGAAGATAAAGCAAAAAAAAGAGAAGGGAGAGAGGGGGAAGAGAGAAGAAAAAAAGAGAAGGGAGAGAGGGGGAAGAGAGAAGGGAGAGAGAACGAGAAAAGAGGGGAGGGGAAAGTGAGATTTTTTTTTGCTTTTATACCATGTACAACTTGTGTACACGGTGTGTACACTAAGCAAAATTCATACTCCCTCCGTCCCCGAAAGATGTTCACAATTTGACCTTCACACATTTTTATGCAAAAGTTTAATTGTAGTTGACTTTCCTAAACTACCCCCATCCTTCCCACCCCGCTGTACCATTCGGCCGAGCTATTAAATCAAAAGTGGGGGGTAATTCATTGAGTAAGAGCATCCCAGAAAGGGGTAAAAAAATGGGAAAAAGTAGATTGAGTTGATGGATCTACAGTAATGTATCTTTTCTCTTTACTTCCTTTACACTTATTCTGCGTACAAAGCAAAGAGAGCACCAAAAATCCCCCCAACTTTTTGGAGGGTTCATTACACTTAAACATGAAAATTCAAAGTTCCCTCCCAAACCCAAAAAATTACACTTAAATGCAGCACAACAACCTTTTTCTGATCATTTACTACTCCCATGGATCTTTCTTTGTCTCTCTCTCTACAAGCTCATGCTTCCTTAAATGTCACTGCAGCTGCAACACCTTTCTCAACCGGAACTACAACTGCTACTCCATCTATTCCTGCAACACAAAACATTGAAGGCAGTGAAGGTGGATCAAGCAAATGGCCAAAACTAAGTAATGCACAGAAAACCAGTATGGTTGAAATACTTTTAGCAAAAGTGATCAATGGAAAACTTTAGAGGGGCATTGTTGGACAAACAGTCACACAGTTCAACTGTTCTAGGCGTACAGTACACAAAGTTTGGTCCAGAGCTAAAAGCCAATTGAATGATGGGGTGCCTATTGATGTGCAAAGTCAATGTAAGGGAAACATGGGTAGAAAAATAGTCACTTTTGACTTAGATAAGTTAAAAGACATTCCACTGCATCAAAGAAAGAACATAAGAGCATTGGGATTTGCCCCGGACATCTCCAAGTCTTCTGTTCACAGATTAGTCAAAGATAAGCCAATAAAGAGGCATTCAAATGCCATCAAGTCATTACTTACAGATGCTGGAAAGGTGAAAAGGTTGGAATTCTGTCTATCTCATATTGTGCCCAGGCCTTTTCCAGAAAAGTCCAATTTTCATCATTTCTTTGATCACATTCACATTGATGAAAAGTGGTTCTTTTTATCAAAAGAAACCACAACATACTACACCCATCCAAGTGAGGCAGACTCTTACAGAGCTGCTCAATCCAAAAAATTTATTCCCAAAGTTATGTTTTTAGCAGTTGTAGGTAGACCTAGGTTTGGGGAGAATGGCGCAGTGCTATGGGATGGAAAGATTGGTATCTTTCCATTCACTTATGAGGAAAAAGCAAAGAGAGCTAGTAAAAACAGACCAGCAGGCACAATGGAGACAAAAGTCACATTAAGTGTAACTAGAAGTGTCATTAAGGACATGATGCTACACAAAGTGTTGCCAGCAATCAAACAAAAATGGTCACATATTGCACTTATACAGATGCAAGAAGGACCAGAAACACAAATGCAGGCAGAAGCATTTACAACTGAGTTCATAATGGAGACACAATGGAGAGCTAGTAAAAAACAGACCAGCGGGCACAATGGAGACAAAAGCCACATGAAGTGTAACCAGAAGTGTCATTAAGGACATGATGCTACACAAAGTGTTGCCAGCAATCAAACAAAAATGGCCACATATTGCACTTATACAGATGCAAGCAAGACCAGAAACACAAATGCAGGCAGAAGCATTTACAACTGAGTTCATAAGTGAAGATCAAGCTGATCTTCAAGAATGAACTTAGATTTCCTAGGTAAAGGACATCTTTTTTGTTTGTACATGCCAAGCCTACAATGTTATAATGTAGGGGCAGTGTACTAGGTTTTGGTAATTTTTTTGTATGTACCCATGCAAAGGACATCTTTTTTGTATGTACCCATGCAAAGGACATCTTTTTTGTATGTACTGCCTTATATGACAAACCTACAATGTTGGAATGTAGGGGCTATGTACAAGTTTTTGTGAACTTATTTGTAAGGCAGACATGTTTGGTATAAAGTCAAATGTAACAATCAAGCCACACATATTCAGATACATTGGCGAGCACAGTAGGTAGCAAACACTTTTCACATAGCCTTCTACACAAAATTAAAGTGGGTGACACATGTTTAAAGGTATTAATGCAGCATAAGTTTTAAGACACATAACCCATCATCAGTTTGGCCCCTAGGTTTAGCACACAAACTGCATTCATCATCAATACAAGGAATCAAATAAACACACAAGCCCCATCATCATCAGTAAAAGGAGTGAAATAAACATCCAATTCACATAGCCTCCTACACTTAGTGTAAGTGGGAAGCACATGTAAAAACACAAGGAATCAGATAAGCATACAAGTTGCATTCATCATCAATACAAGGAATCAAATAAGCACACAAGCCCCATCATCATCAGTAAAAGGAGTGAAATAAACATCCAATTCACATAGCCTCCCACACTTAGTGTAAGTGGGAAGCACATGTAAAAACACAAGGAATCATATAAGCATACAAGTTGCATTCATCATCAGTACAAGGAATGAAATAAGCATACAATATTCAATACGGACAGGAAATTTCATCATCATCACAAATACTCCATATCCATTACAGAAACTGACATAACCTCCTACACTTATTCAAAGTGGGAGACACATGTAAAAGTAACATAAGGTGCATTCCAAGCAGCATTACAGATAATCAGATAAGGACAGGAAATGCCATCATCATCATAAAACAACAAATTGAGCAAGAGATACTTCCCCTATGGAGAGTCCCGAAATATGTCAGCATATGGATCTGGGAAAAAGCAATCAAAGGAGTTCACCTCCTCGCCTTCTTCCACCGATTGAGAACTGTCATTGAACTGGGAGCCATACCTCTTTCTTAGCGCCCAACCCGGATCCATTTACGTTGATGTCCACCAGCATGCACCCTCAGATTCTTCTTCATCGGCGGTGGCTACGACGGGACAATCTTCAGATTGGCTAGGGTTGGACAGATGTGAGTGTACATCGGAAAGGGGTAGGCTTTTCATGTTGGAATCAATAGATGACCCAGAGGAAAGGAGACTAGCATCTATGGAAGAGGTGAATGAGTTCGATTCCATACGAACACAGAAGAAAACGAAAGGTCTAGAGAGAGAGAAAGGGAATCGTTTGAAAGGGGAGATGGGGAGGCTGAAGGGATTTGGATTAACCGGTTGGGGAAGTGGGAGTGCGGGTAAGAGGGGGGTAAATGGGGAGGGTATTTCAGACATTTCATCTAACATTTATTTCCATTTAAGGAAATGGAAACTTCTTTGTGAGACAGCCAAATAAGGAAAGCGGGAACTTCATTGTGGGACGGAGGGAGTAATAAATACAATGCAAATGGGGTTTTTATACTTTAGTAGCCATGATAGTAAACTTAGTGGACCAATATAATAACTAGTATACCAATATCATGTTCTAACAGCATTTATGGAACAACCTCTATATAATAATCATAATAATTAATTTAGAGTTATTTTTCTTGTTAGATTGACTGAATTTACGGAAGAAGACGATTTATTCTTTTTTTTCATTTTATTTTAATTTTATCAATAATATACATTATAAATACTACTTTCGTTCCGTTTAAAAGTTCCCATTATAAAATGACATGATTATATAGCCAATAATTAATAAGGTAATTCGAGAATATTTTGAGATATAGTTTTGATGGGTATATAATACTACGTATAATGGGGTCATTGGTAATAATTGTGGTGTTATAGATATATTATTTTTAATATTTGATGATTAAATTATTATTTAAGAGTATTAATTGTTTTCGAATATAAAAAGGAAAAGTAACTTTAAGTAATACCAACTATCATCCATAAACTAATATTAATACATATTTTGAAAATGATTTTTAATAATACCAACTATTTGAATGTAAAGAAAAAACAATATGAAGTCACTTTTTGACAAGAAATCCTGTCATTTAAGACTTCGAAAACTAAAGGCAACACATCAAATAAATGCTATTTGATAATACATTCACTTATTAGATATTTTGATACAAGTTTTTGATGAATCAAATGGTTAATTTTTAGTACAAAATTGCACTATATCATTTTTTGTTTGTGTTTGTATAGTTGGTATTATTAAACCCTATTTACAAAGTATGTATTATTTTTGGTTCATGAAAGATCGTTTGTATTATTTAAAGTTATTTTCCCAAATAAAAATGAAAACCTTTATACGGAACGTTCAAAAAAAGAAAAAAGAAAACCTTAGAATGAGACGCATGGAGTATACTTTCTTTATAATTCAATAGATTCTATGGTTTCAGAGTTTATAGTATATTATTAAGTGATTAATTCAATTTTAGCGTGACGGAGCGGACTTTAAATAAGCTTTATGGCCGAATAATTGAAGAGTTTTTTGTATACAATCTGTATTTTAGCTATAAATATGTAATTATCTCATAATTGAATGATATATATGATTTCTATCCTTGTGATTTTAATTAATAACTTTTTTCTTCAATATTTGACACAATATATTGGGGACAGGGCCGGCCATAGGGGGAGTTACCCTAGACAAGTGTCTAGGGTCTCCAAATTTTAGGGGCCTCTAATTTATAAAATAAGCTTATTGATATTATTTAGGAGACTTTGTCTGGCCGTCAACATTTGGGATAGTTTCCTTTGGAATTTTTTGATGATTTGTTTTTAGAATCTTATTTATTATGTCTAGTTTACTCATACCAAATTTCACCTAAAAATTCAACTGGGAAGACATTCAAATGAATTCTTGAAGATAACTGCACAGTTAAAAGCGCAGTTATCTTCAAGAATTTATTTGAATGCCTTCCCCGTTGAATTGTTAGTTGAAATTTGGTATGAGTAAACAAGACTTAATGAATAAGATTCTCAAAAAACTTCATCAAAACATTCCACCGGGAACTGCCCCAAATGGCGACGGCCGGACAAAGTCTCTTATACAAGGGCTTATTTGACCTTTTTGGTTAGTATGTGGGCTTATTTGCCCCTTTTTCCTTTTTTTTCTTTGTTGGCCAGGGCAGTAGGGCTAGGGATTTAGGATAATGAGTATTCTAAATATATTTGAATGCTTATTGAATAATTGAAATTGTAATTTGTTATTTTGATTCATCGAAATATTGAACATACTTATAATTTTTATATTTGATTAAATTTAGTGAATTAAATTTATATCTATGAACCATTAACTTATATTTAGTGATAGTATTATTTTGAATGAAATTTTATGTTTTGTGATGATTGGAAAACAAAATATGAATCAAGATGTACAAAGACAAAGAAAAAAATTAAGAAATGATTTGGTCATGAAATCACTTTCCGGCTCTATCGATCGGTATGTTGTACGTAAGCACAAAACCTTCTCCCTCTAGGACTCTTTGTATTTTTTCATCAACTTTGATCTTCTGATTTCGAAGAATATTCTCACTGTGTTAATAGTATATGATGTATTTTATATGTAATTTACTTATATTTAATTGCTATTTTTTATATCATTGGGTTAAATAAAACATATTTAAAGCAAAATTTCTACATGACCGTCTAGGGCCTCGTTCTAGGTGATTGGGGAGGACTCTGTATTAGATACCAAGTATTAGGGAAAGTAGCGAGAGTAATTGTAAAGACTAGTTTAAATATTACTACTTCTTTATGTGAAGAGATGGTTTTATCTCAGTCAAGTCTAGCGATGTAGTTACTTACAAAACTTTGTAACTAAATTTGTGATTATATTAAATTTTTAGCTGAATCGTTAATATATACAATCTTAAACGGTGTATTGTTGTTCCCAACTTGTAGGTAAACCATGGGAGTTTGGTAAAGTTGGAAGGCTTCTGCATAGACTCAAAAGAAGCTAATTGCTACCTAGTGTATGAATATGTGGAAAACGGGTCACTATATTCGTGGATCCATGGGGAGAAAAACGCGAGAGTGAGCTGGAAAACGAGGGTGAGCATAGCCATAGACGTAGCCAATGGTCTACAATACATCCACGAACACACCCGGCCCAGGGTCGTCCACAAAGACATCAAGACCAGCAACATCCTCTTGGACGCCAACATGCGGGCCAAGATTGCCAACTTCGGGCTGGCGAAGTCCGGATGCAACGCCATCACGATGCACATCGTGGGCACTCAGGGCTACATTTCCCCGGAGTACCTCGCCGATGGCGTCGTCTCCACCAAGATGGACGTGTTCTCCTTCGGAGTCGTGCTCCTCGAGTTGGTGTCCGGGAGGGAGGCTATCGACGAAGAAGGGAGGGTTTTGTGGGTGAAAGCCCAGGACGTATTGAAGGGAAGCGAGGAGGCGAAGGTGAAGGAGTGGATGGACCCGAGTCTTGCTAGCGAGTCGTTCTCGATGGAGAGTGTGATCAATGTGATGTCGGTTGCAGTTGCATGCTTGAACAGAGATCCTTCCAAGAGGCCTAGCATGGTCGATATTGTGTATGCCTTGTGTAAGAGTAATGATCTGTTCTTTGATGTCTCTAGTGGTGGTATATCACCGGGACGTGCAGTAACAGCGAGATAAGAGCGATGAGGCGAAATATCTTACAATGAGTTTATATATTGATTGGAGGTGGCACGTATAATCTTTTGATGAGTTGAATTACACTCAATTTAGGAGGATAGGCCGGGTACTGCAAAGTTATTGTAAATACATGCATGAGGCATTGCAAAATAAGTTTGAAATGGATCAGGAAGCTGTCTTTTATTGGGATTTGGGCAGATTCTTAATGTGTACCAGTTTGTTTCTTTATTGAATACAACCGTTTTGATCTTTCAAAAAAAATTCAAATTCGAGGATGATGGTAACGGAGCCATTGTAATCGTAGTAAACGGGGATAAATTATCTTTGAGTTGTGATTGTTTTTGGTACAGGCAGGGCCACTTCTGAGGGGCAACAGGGGCGATCGCTCTATGATCGAAAAAATAGCTTCAAATTTTTTTCTTTATATATAGTGTAAGTATGCTTCTTTTTTTATTCTTAAGTTCAATTAATTAGGCTTAATGATTAATTTTGTTGACAATTTGAAAATTTAAAACATAAATAAAGAGTCTTAAACAGAGACGAGTTTAAAACATAATATATACATTAAATTTTAGCAGGATCAGTTGTAGTTTTTAAAAGCAATACAATTGTTGCTGCATAAATAAAATACACGTCTCTCCAATCCTCACGTCTTTTTAGTTTTTAAGGTGTTTTACTCAATTTAATTATTGGAACGAAAAAAAAAACCCCTAGAGAGAGAAGCTCTGGCGACATCGGTACGTTCATGACTGTTCCGACGGTGGATGAGGCAGCGCCTCCTCCGCCAGCCAAGGCGTGGGGAGGGAGATCGATCGCAGCGGTGGTGTCAGGTGATGCTAACCCTCCCTTATCATCCAAAAATCCAACCAAGTTTAAAGGCATGCCTTCCATCACCTTCCCGGAGGAGGAGATTCAAATGTTGGCATCTAAACACTCTAAGGACCTGGTTGGCTACTTCTTTGCTGGACGGCCTTCTATGGGATCGCTTCGCAAGGCCTTCGATTTGATTGGGTTCAAGGGCAAATTTCAATTGGGTATTCTGACATTTTAATTCGTTTTGAGCATGAGGATGATTATGTTAGATGCTGGAATCGCCAGGTATGAGATATTTTTGGCAGTGCTATGCGTGTAACGAAATGGACCCCTGATTTCAAACCAAATGTTGAATCCCCTGTGGTTCCTGATTGGTTAACTTTTGAAAATCTCCCTATTCATCTACATGATAAAAGAGCGTTGTTTGATATTGCAAGGATGATTGGTAGGCCACTTAAAATTGATGCTGCTACAGCTAATCTTGCTAGGCCATCCATAGCAAGGGTTTGTTCAGACAGTTATGTATGAGAATAGGTCATTATACTGCACTAAATGCTATCATCTGGGTCACTCAGGGGCAACTTGCCCAATCCGGAGTGTGGGGAAAATATAAGAGGGCCAAGGTGTTGGTCCCCGATGATCTACACTACATAATGTGTATGAAGATGGATGTGTATTGGTGTAATGGAAGCTTTCATTGATTGCTGAGAGTTTACAGAATGATGTTGAAGAATGTTAGCGTAAAACCTCCGTAGCCTATTCTATGCGTAAAACTAATGATCGGGAAAGCTCTTCTATGCTGGAACAAAAACCTCTTCTACACATTCTACATAGGGTCTATTTATAGCCCTTTGTAGAATGCTAGGTTACAAGCATTGGGCTTCCATAATAAAGAGACCCATTCCCTTTAGGAATGTGGCCTTTACCTAAAATAGCTTATCTAATAAATTATTCTACTAGGCTTTATAAAATACAATGGATCACAATAAAAAATATCTCTAACAATCTCTCCCTTTGTGATCCAATGTCCATTTCAGCTCTTATTGTTCTTTTTCCTTTTGAAGTAGTTCTTTCGCAATGCTAAGGCGTGCTCGTACATGCGTATCATTCTTCTCTTCTCGAGTCTGTCTTCAATTGCCTTTAGCACCACGTTTATTTTGTCAAATTCCTTTATTTCGGCTTCAGAGGCTTCAGCAAGTCTTCGTTTGATATCAGATTTCAGCGGAAGTAGTTTCTCTCTGATGATCTTCAGGGTCCCATCACAGTATCTTGAAATGTCATCTATCCACAGAATGTGTTTCTTCTCTTCATGATTGAGGTAGATGACTATGGTCGGGTCTTCAAAAATAGTGTAAGGTGGAAACTCTTCAACCTCCGGTCCATACAAGATTGGCTTTGTAAGATTTGTTCTGGTGATATTGTTCTCGAGAGCCATCTGAAGATCGTGAGTGGCATGAACTCTGACTTGCCTCAGCATGAAACGTCTTATTGCTTCATATCCTTCTTTGAGGACTTTATTCTTTCTGATGGATAGGTTCCTGTAGACCATAGACATTTGATAGATGTCTTCCATCTTGAGCATAATGAAATCGTTCTCTTGACAGGTAAACTCTGTGCCATCAGTTCTTTGTAATCGATAAATCGAATACTTTATTCAATGATGATCTCCTCTGGACACTTTCAGAATATCCCAAATAGGGCATTTGCTCGTTTTCATATCGTGTTCCAGAATCTGGTGCTGTAAGCCTGTTGATCGATGATATAGCATATGAAGATGTCCGCCGACTTGTCTACCTTTTAGATGGGTAAGACCTCGAACTTTCAGTTCATCAATTTTCTTGATCCTGTCAGGCTTTCTCCATAATTTTTTTCGGATTTCCTCTTGGAAGGGGGCAGTGATATTGATATTCTCCTATGGGTCTTCATCTTTGGGCAAGAGCGCTCCTGTACTTCTGACAATGGAGGGTAGCTCTGCTGGAGTTTCTTTGTAGTTCTCCCCTTCATTGAGTTCATCTTCCTCAAGCTCTATCAGTTCTTCAGCGCACTTTTTCAATAAGTCTCTTAGATAGACTCCTCTCTGCATTTCATATTGCTCGACCTCTTGTCTGATCTCGTCCCATTCCGTCCATTCTCCGTTCCATCTTTCATCGATAATGATATTTTCAAGTTCATTGTAGGTGGACGGGCTTTGTTCTTCAGAGGGAGCATTCATCTGTGTTGCTTCGTGAGAGGTAAGTCCGGGATCACATGGATTGCCCATTGTCATCAGTATAGAACTAGGTTCTTCATGATGGCCTGAATAAAATCGTGTACTCGAAGTAGCTACCTCAAGACTTCCACTCCATCCTTGGTCAAAATCTCTAAGAGATATGCCTCGGAGTGTTTTGTCTAGCTCGACCATGCTAGAAATATGTAGGTTTGTGGCTTGGGTGTTGGGTTGAGTGGAAGATGGGGGCTGGTTGTTCGAAGATTCAGGTTGGGAATCATGTATGGGTTGTTGGTTTGTTGATGCTCCATGCTCAAGTGTCTGTTGCCTCTTGTTCTCCCCCTCATGAGGATCCGAGTCATCGGGGTCCTCATGTGAAAGTTTGTGACCACGGAGACTGTCACGGCATGTGCTATCGGTTTCTAAGAATATGCGAAGAAGGGCTTTTTGTCTAAGGGTTCGGTTGCCTTCTTCGGTGGCTAGAATTCTTGCTAGCATAATAGATTCGAGTTCCTCGAAATCAATGGTATATGGGTTAGGGTGAGGTGTGGTCGTTGCAGGGGAGGACACGCGTTCTGTATCCTGGTTTCCCCTTGAAGTGGTAGGTGTTTGAGGTTGTGTGGTTGATGGTTCAGAGGTTTGAAGGGTAAGTATGGGGGTAAGTTGTTGTTGGGAGTTTGAGGTGGATGGTTGTGGTTGGGTGGTGTCAATCTGTAGCGCCTGGGTGTTCATGAATTCATGTGCCCGAGCGGTTATTGCTTCGTGCACCCATGGCTTGATGGTGGAATCCATGAAGCTCTGCAGAATGACAGAAAGGTCGGTAGGTTCGGGCTGTCCGGTTACAGGGGTAGTAACCGTTGTCACAACATCAGTAAAGATTACTGAAGTGTGGCCTGCAGATATAGATTGAGTTATCTGTTGAACAACACGACTTCCGATCATCATTGACGTGTCTTCGATCGTTGTTGACAGGTAAAGTGAACCTGTTGAGTGCAGTGGTGTGAGAAGTGTAGGTGTCCTAGAAAAATTGGAAAATGTAGGGAGTGTGACACCTAGACTCATCGTGTTAGAAGGAGGGGTAGTGGTCCGGGGCGATAGACCACTATATAAATCCTCAACTGTGTCGTAAGGAGGCAGAGAGGTGGGTGTAGTATCTCCTATATGTGAAACTACTACCTGTTGAGAGGCAGCAGAGTGGCTAGGTTGGGCTTGTGCATGCGCAGTTGGGCTAGATGCTGCGTCTTCTACTCGGAAACTGAAAATATCAGTCTCTGCACCTATGGGGTTAGCCCGGTTTATTTCTTCGAAGTCGGAACAACTATCAAATATTGCCATGTCGTCTGCAATGGCGCTGTCCGTTTGCACTCTTTGAGTTGGAATGGATGATGAGGAGGGGTTGTCATGACGTACCTTAGAGCGAGTCTCACTTATAGTTGCTCCTTGAGCGTTTTTGATCTGGTGAGACTCCTCCTTGTTTGTAGCCCTAGAAAGCCTTATAATGAGTCTTCCTTTCAGAGCAGGGGCTTCCTTGGCTTTTCTTGCGTTGTCATTCGCGTCGTCATTATCCTCATCACCGTCATCGTTGTCGCTTTCCTCAGCCTTGCTTTCAGAGTCCTCATCATCAGCGTCTGGTGTTCTGGCTCCGCTTAATGAATCACGGGTAGTCTCTTCAGCACGGGTGTGGCCCTCAGCAGACAAAGTCTGATCATCATGGGGCCGACTCGCCACTGGTCTCTGTGGCCGGGTTGAACTCTCAGGACCCTCACTCACACTCGGCTGACTCCCAGGGGTAGGCTCAGGGGGGTTTATCCGAGCCATAGGGAGTATAATGTTGTGCTCTTCACAGTAGCGTCGAACAGATGGATCATTCGGATCGGCTAACGGTAGAAGAGCCACTGGTATAGTCATTGGTACCAGCCTAAGAACATCGGGCATTTTCTTGAGACGTTGGACAGACGATACGTAGACATTCTCCTTTGATAGCCTTCGTGGAATCGCTGCAGTGGATCGGGAGATATGTCTTACAATCAGTGAAAACCACCTCATGTAGGGAAGGTGTTTGATCTGGTCCGTCTTCGTCCTCTTTCTGACTAGCTCAAAAATTTCATCCCATATCAGGGAGACATAGTCGTAGTTCTTCATGAAAGTGATGCCGTGGAAGATGGCCAGAAGGTAGATACTGCACTTTTCAAAGCCAGTGTGTTTGGCAGTACAGCACCTGTTGAGAATAGCAAGCATGGTCCTCCACGGTCTTGGTAAGCGTCCCGGTCTGACATCAGATATTGGCTTGATTGGTGCAGCATGGCCTAGCTTGAGCATATCGGCCATCATTTCAGGTTCAGATGCGAGCTCGTCATAA